AAGAGGGTACTAATAACAAAAGGCTTTTATTTCACAGAAAAGGAACTTCCTACTTCTGTCTCCTTTCATTTCAGCACTGACTATTTCAGTGAATACCAAACAGAGGTGCCACATCTTTTAGATCTGGGAAACTGCAGAACATCCCCATGATATTTTGAGTGTTATTAGTAATTCCCTCTCTGGTTCATTGCTATTGAAGTTTGTCTCTGCAGTGTGGTTTGAGTGGGGACTAGTGATAGTGAAAATAGGGGATTTGCAGTGCAAGTGTCAAACATTTGGAGGACCGGGCTGAATTCCATGCTTAATTGTGGCCCATCAGTCAGGGTATTAATTCAGGGTGCATACTTTCCACAGCACACTTACTGATATCAACAGGAGGCTCCCACAGAGATCAAGGGGAAAACTGACTTTTATATAGTAACTGTTTAGTTATTTGTTCAGTATGTGATTGTCACGGTCATCACTCAGTGGGAAAATCTGTTCCCCTTTTAAGCCATCTCTACTTCTGTCTTTTGTTTCTTGTCCTTCCCCATCTCTGTTTTACCCTTTCCCATGCCTCTGAGTTAATTTTGACACGGAAGTGCCATCATTGGGCTTTAGAATTAATACTCTAATCCAGTTAGTAAGGGGCAGAGGAGTTCAGACCTCAGTGCATTGTTTCAAGCTTTCTGCAGACTTGGGAAGATGTTACTACATTGGTTACATTTAGTCCACATTTGAAAAACTATCTCTGCATCCAGGGCTAGAAGCTTTTTAAAAATGAACTTTAGATTACATCATGTAGGCTACAAATACATCATGTGGGTTGGATCGCAGTACGTTAAATTGCTTCTCAGAAAGTGTTGGCTTTCTTGTAAGTAAAGCATTAGAAAACCCCTTTAAGTTATTTGACCTACAGTAGCAAAGAAAATGGCTTCTTTAGGTGACTGTTAGTGTGTGTTTCCACATTAGAGGTATTGGCTTTTATTTTTACTTCTAAAATTTGCTAACCAAAAACAATCTGTAAGCACCAATATAATACTGAAAAAATAAAACGTGACTCCAGTTTTCTGTCCCCTATAATCTCATTATGCCAAAACTTATGTAGCACTTGAGGAGTTTTCTGACATTTGATATATGATGCATCTGATGGACCAACAGAAATGAGTGGCTTGAGTTCTACAGTCAAATGCCCCTCACTGGAAAAACACGGCCTCCACTTTCCCTCCCATTTCAGTTTGGGGGGCCATAAGCAGAAGCACTTTGGCTGATTATACGTTCTGTGATACTACAGGAAAAGAGAGGCTATCTCTGAAACAGCCACTACAGCTGGTTGAAAAACTGCCAGAAAAAGCAGCAAATAACTTGACTAATAATTTCCAACAATCTGTAGAGCTGCACAGTAGGAAAAAAGGTATCTGCAAATAATGCATTCAGCAGCTGAAAGGAAAAACTAGTCAAATGACTTGCAAATCGGAGCTAGGGGTCATACCATATAGTTCTTATTTATAGGGCAAAACAACAAAGGGGATTCAGCAAACCAAGGCTGCCAAGCCTATAGCTGTTCCAGTGCAGCATCATTGCTCACGTTGTCCAAGAGCCCATCCACAAAACATCTGGAACATAGGATTAAAATGTTCTTGCACATCCTTAATATGGGACTGTACTTCAAGGGACATGCCTGCCTTGGTCAGTGCATCCATCCATATTATCCAATCTGAAGCTATAGTAGCAATAGTCGTAAAACCTCTTTAGAAGCTCATCTAAAACTCCTCAAGGAATCTGAATGTGTAATGCACACTATGCTTCTACTTTTTACTAGTGACATTTAAAACACTGAAGAGTTTTAAAAATGTTTTTAACTCCGTAACTTCACTGAAAATCCTAACTTTTCAATTACTGCTATAGGTGAGGGGCCTGCCTGCCTGTGGTGTTAGAACCGTTGCCAAGGAAGTCTGTGACCTAACCAAAATGTGACTAAGATTTTTTTTTTTTTTTTAAGCCCCAAACAGGCTACTCTCTTAAATATCAGGCTGAGGATGAAGTAAATCTTACCTTTTTCTCTTTTTCAGGTTTCTCCAATTAACTTTTGCCATTGAGTATCTTACTGAGCTATCTCTAGTAGCAATGGCTATTTATAGCCTGACTAGGCTAGTTCACTTTCTGTCTTTCTCCTTTAAGCTTCCTGCCTCTTTCCCAATCTAAATATTCATTGATAGGCATATATAAGATACAATCACAATAAAGCAATCGTGTACAGAGGCACCATTACACTTCAGTTAAGCTGCTCAGACATGCAAAGGTTTGTTGAGCAATTTTTAGAGGCTAGATGGTGCTTTGGCTTTGAATTTAGATCACTAGTGAATATAATATTCTCAATGTACTTACTAGTAGATTCTTGGCCATGTCACAAGAACCACTCGTTGTGGTACAACTTACCATGATTCTCAGTCATAGGCGACAACTCTGTGGGTGCTCCGGGGCTGGAGCACCCATGGAAAAACAATAGTGGGTGCTGAGCAACCACTGGCAGCCCTGCCGATCAGCTCCTCCCCACAGCACCTCCCACCCACTAGTGGGCCCCAGCTCCTCCACCACTACCCCATCACCTCCCGCCTGCCGGTAGGCCCCCAGCTCCTCCCCCTCCCTTCCAGCGCCTCCCACCCTCCGATGAGCGGCTATTCAGCGGCGTGCAGGAGGCATTGAGGGGGAGGCAGGAGAGGGGGCAGGCAGAGGCAGGGTGGAGGCTTGGGGGAAGGGGTCAGCTGGGGGTTGAGCACCCCTGGAGAACTCAGAAAGTTGGCGACTCTGCAGGAAAGCTCCCAATCTTGAATAACAAGCAGGGCAAATTGGTACTAAGGTGCATATATTGAACTGTGTGTGGGAAGTGTGTATAGCATCTTTCCACACTAAGCCCGGCTCTAACCAGTCTTGATGTCACATTTGCAAACACTTAAGTGCATCAAATTCACGAATACATTACTTAAAATATTTGTTGTAAATAATTGGCATTTATATACTACTCTGCAGTCATTGATTAGCTAATCCTTATCCCGTCACTGTAAAGGGGTGGGTGGGTGTTATCCCCATTTTAGAGCTGAGGCAATTCCCATTCCCCTGGCCATGAAAAATTGCTGATTTTTATTTAATGTGGTCCAGTTGCTAACTATAAACTTAATTATAAGCAGGAAGTTTGTAATGCGTTACACCACATTGTACCTGTAACAACCAACTTCCGGTTGTAGGTTGTAAGTAGAATGAATGTTTGTGTATTGTGACACTGAGACCAGTGTTTGGACTGGGGAGCTATAAGATCTGAAACTGCAGACCACTGCTTTGTTTTTTCCGTTTGTTTAGGAGTGAGATTCTTGTGGCAAACCATCTCCTGAAAGCAAAACCATAAAAAGGAAGGTCATGGTCTCTTTCTAAAGTCTAAACTTAGCATTACTGCTACAGAAAAGGGAGGTAACAGAGTAGGTGCTGGCCAATGATTTCCTTATCAAGTGAACAACACTATTTATCTACCTCTCCCCACCCCCAAATCCAATGATATTTGAACCTCAAAGGCCCTCTGACTCACAACCCACTCAGAGTATTGTTAATCCACATTTTTTCACACTAGCAGTATTGTCCATTAGCACCACAATTCAGAATTCTTCTGTTTAACTGTATTACTTAACTTTGTACATTCCCATATGCATGTGTTGGTTCACACCTGAAGGCAGGTACCAGGTAATCTCTGCTGTTCCAGAGAAAAATTGGGGCGTGGGAGATAGTATGGGTGAATTGCTATTTGAATTGCATTACATAGCGGCTCTTTTTTTAAATGTGTCCTGTGCATATATGAGTATAAAACGAGGAAAATGATACATTAAACTTTTAAGGGGCACCACTTGAAATCTAGTCAATTTCAATTTCTTTTCTTAAAATGGCTTCAGGTACACCTGCCCCAAATCCCTCGTCATTTTTATGTCTTGAGCATTACTTAAGGCTTCTTACCAGTGGCTTTTCTCATTCCTGTTGCTGTGTGAAAGACACAAAATAAAGGAGTCTAACTGATTATACAAAGGCCTGGTCCACACTACCCCCCCACTTCGGACTAAGGTACGCAAATTCAGCTACGTTAATAACGTAGCTGAATTCGAAGTACCTTAGTCCGAACTTACCGCGGGTCCAGACGCTGCAGAAAGGCTCCCCCGTCGATGCCGCGTACTCCTCTCGGCGAGCTGGAGTACCGGCGTCGACGGCGAGCACTTCCGGGATCGATTTATCGCGTCTAAACCAGACGCGATAAATCAATCCCAGAACATTGATTGCCTGCCGCTGGACCCTCCGGTAAGTGTAGACGTACCCAAAGGTAACGGGGAAACTGACTAGACAAAAGTGCTGTCAAATATAAAGTAAACAAACTGGAAAAAATAGAAATACTTGCTTCTCAACTTCTAATTATGGTAGTCGTGGGTGTTACTTGTAACAACGGTATGTTTTCATGTTTAAAAAATAAAGTGAGAGGAGAAGGGACAAAAGGTGCAGAACTCTTTAAATGTTTGATTCCAAATCCTCTTTTTGTGTGGTACAAACACCCATTGACTTCAATAGGAATTGTTCATGAAATGGCTGCAGAAATGGGAACCTAAATTATTAGCCTTTGTGTATCCTCTTTGCAGGTTTATTCCCAGAATGCTTACCAGTGCAATCATCCAGCTGGATCCGAGCAAATTTAACACTATTCTAACCCAAAGGAATGCTGCTACAAATGGAATTATTTTGAAACCTACATACATGTAGTATTCTGGTAACATTAGTTATCAGGTTATTTTATGGTATAATTCATGCTAGTTGCTGTGTAACTGCCATTATTTCCAATGACTGCCTTAATACTTTATTATGACAATATTATGAAATTTTCATTAGTGTAAGAGAAGACTTTAAAATAAGGGTAGGGAAAGAAGTCTGAGATTTGCTAGATATTTTTTTCTCTCGTGCATACCTATCACCTCATCCTCTTCTTTTTATGGTAGAGATGCAGGTCACAAATGTCCAGTAGACAATGAAATTCTACTCGAAAACCAACTCTTCCCTGACAACTTTGCCAAACGGGAAATCCTCTCACTGAAGGTGAGATGTCCCAACAAGGGCTGTCTTCTGAAGATGGAGTTGAGACATCTAGAGGTAAGAATCATTTTAAAAATGGAAAATAGTTTCCCATTTTGAAATTTAAAAAAAATCTCCAAAATGACTCTATGTAGATGGTCTTCATCTTCTTGGTGGTTGTGGTTTCAAATCCACTGTTTTTGATCAAGGCTGGTTCTGTTTCTCTAATTGAAAGAAATAAGTGGCTGATCTTAGTTACCTTACCCCAAGCGTGTGTCACAGCTTGCATACAGCAAAAGATAGTGCCTATAATGTTAATAACAGTGGTATTAGTTTCATCATTTTAGTCTCCCTTTGGCCTGTCTTTGTCACCAACCATATGCTTTCTATATCCAGTGTCCAAAATGCCAGTTAATACCTGCTCAAAGCAATCTGAATAAAATATAAACAATTTTTAAATAGTCCTGGAAGTTGTCCAATTAAACAATGTGTTAAACTGTAAAAAGTAGCCATATGATAACTCTTCAGTATTAATGTTTGTGCAGAGCTTTGACTTTATAGTCCTGTTCAAACCCTGGCTCTGCTATAGAGCTCTTCCGTATGGACTGCAATAAAAGTCATTGAGGTTCTAGGTTTAAGGGCTAATGCGGGCAAATCCTTTTGCAGGATTGGGGCCTGAAAGAATATTAAAGGTGCCAATTGTATTCCTCTTGGAGCCATTTTGGTCCATCTTGGAGATGTATGAGTACCTGGTACCTGGAGCACTTTTGGGGGTTTCTAATACCACGTCCTTTTGTTGCTCCTTATGCAGGAGCATCAGTTGAATTGTGACTTCTGCTCTGTGGAATGCCTACAATGCCAGAGCTCCTTCCCGAAGAACCAGCTGCAAAACCACATGACACTGGAATGCCCACGGCGGCAGGTCTGCTGTCCAAACTGTGCTACATCTATGGCTTATGAAGATAAAGAGGCACGTGCTGAAACATATTAGAGTGGATGAAAAATATTGTAACATTTGTCGTCGATTGTTAATGCAATATCAATGGAGGGTGTTCATCAGAATAGTAAATTGATCCAGAAACAGCTTTCTGTGCTGCTTTGCTGGACATTAGGAGGTTGTGACCTCCGGATTGTCCTCTCTTGGACAGGTGAAGACTAGTCTCCCCCCCCCCCCCTTTTTTTTTTTTTTTGGGGGTGGGGGGGGGGGGGGGGTCAAGATGGGGTCATGCTTGGTTAAACCTTTTTTGGAGACCCTATGGTGCATGAGGAGGTGGAAGGGTTTGTATAAGGGGGGACCTTTAATTTTGACCTTACAAAGAGAGATGTCATCATTAGCATCCCACAATGACCTTAAAAAGAAAAGGGGGAGGGGCCAGGATAACAGGATAGGACAAAAATACTGGTGTTTGGCAGGCTGTCTTGCTCTGCACACAAACACGTTACCTGCTGGAAACATGGACGAGTGTAGAGAGGGAGAGCTGTGCTCCAATGCCTAAATCTGTCCTTGAAACAAGAGAGTTGGAGCAAAACTTCTGGATTCTGTTCTTAGCTCTGATTCTGACTCCTGGGTGATCTTGAGCATCTGGCTTCTGTGTTTTGAGCTTTCATTTCCTTATCTCTATATAGACATAATCTGTCTCAGGGGGTATATTAGGTTTATCTGAAAAGCACTTCAAAATCTGCCATTGAAAATTCCCACATTAATGCACATCATGTTTGTGACCCTTTTGACCCTTTTTGTCAAATGTTAAGACTTCTTAATATATTCATTAATATCAATTACACAAGAAAATTCTTTAAAATGTTTACATCCTTAATACAGTTAATTAAACCCAAACTTCACAAATGTCTTGGGCAACTTTAGAATCAGAATTTTGTAGAATCAGAAATACGACTTATCACTATGAATTTCTGATGAGACAAGAATAAAATTCCAGAAAGTGAAAAGACTCATTCAGGAATCAGAAAGGAGGGTAATTTCCTATTTCCTAATTAAATCCAGCAAGATACAAAGCTTGAGACTTAAAAAATAAATGATCAAGAATTTTACATAGACATTTAGAACACAGGCAAATCGATGCTCCCTTCTCTTTTAATAATCATTTAATTGTTACTAATAGTTCTCATTTTCTTTCTCACCTTTTCAAAAAATGAAGCTTCATGACCAGAACTGTCCACTTGCAAATGTGTTTTGTGAATATTGCAATACAGTGCTCATCAGAGAACAGGTAAGAGCCTACCTTTTCGCCATATGTCTGTCTGTCAGGTTGGAGTGCATCCTAAATAATATTTAACCTATCTAGCTGCAAACAACTTAAGATTTAATGGTAACCCATGTAAGTGTCTGATTTCTCACACGTCAAACTTCCTCTAAATCTGGGGTTCTCAACCTTTTTCTTTCTGAGGTCCCCCCCCCAGCATGCTATAAAAACTCCAAGGCCCACCGGTGCCACAACTACTGTTTTTCTCCATATAAAAGCCTTGGCTGGCATTAAGGGGTAGAAAGCAGGGCAATTGCCTGGGGCCCCACGCCACTAGGGGGACCGCGAAGCTAAGTTGCTCATACTTCGACTTCAGCCCCGGATGCTGGAGCTCAGGGTCCTGGGCCACAATCCTGTGCGCGGAGGCTTCACCTTTCTTCCCTGGGCCCTAGTGAGTCTTAACACCAGCCATGCTTGGCAGACCCCTTGAAACCTGATCATCCCCCACCCCCGGGATCCCTGATCGAGAACCACTGCTCTAAATGGTGTTCCTGTCTGCAGTTGCAGTTCAGGTGAACTTTAAACACATGGATTGTTGACAGCAAACTCTGTTATGCAGAAATCTGGATTGGAACCATGGAGTACATCCATGGCTATTATGGTGATCGTAAGTGGCATCAAATAGGACTTCAAGCAACTGCTTGTACTTATGTCTGATCCTGAAAGTCTAGTTTGTTCAAGGCTCTGATCAGTTCTAAAGTCAACTGTACACATATTGTGTATAAGAATGTGCACAGGGGTGACTGTCATTGGAGACGTCCTGTCACCCTCTAGGTCAACATAACTAATCCCTTTCCTGGAATCTCAAATTTACGGAGAATAACAGTTATCAAGGAATATTACACTGGGGTGACTTGCAGTGATGTTGCTGCATTACCTTGCAATAATTTACTAAATGGCCTTTAACACTTAGTGTCTATTGAAGTGCAAATTAGTGGTGTGTGGTTGCTCATTATTCCATTAAAATGTTGAAATCTGTTGTATTTAAGTGTAGCCACGTATTTAGGCTGGATCCTGAGAGTTGGAATGTTGCTGTGTGCTTAACACACAGTCGCTAATTCTTTCATCATGTTTTGTGATCGAATGGCATAATTTCTTTTCTGAAACAAGAAGACTTTGATCTGAAGAGGAGAATGTAAACTATTCATCTTAAAGAAAAATTAACCTTAACTCTCATTTTGGTTTTAGATGCCTAATCATTATGATAATGACTGCCCTACCGCCCCAGTACCATGTACATACAGTGCCTTTGGATGTCCTGAAAAGGTAAATCTTTCTTTTACGCGCATCAATGCAAAGAACTCCTCAGTACCTTTCATCCAGTCTGTGTCACAAATTTCCCGGGTTTGATTTTTACAGTTCGACTTTCAAAAGCTGTTAGCATTGACCTGACTCCACTTCTGTTGAAGGCAATGACAGCTTGATTAGACAAGTGCCCGGATGCTTTAGCAAAGTCTACCCTAAATCTAATAATTTTCTGGGGTGCTTTTATTTTGCTGTTCTTACCTGTGTTGATTTCAGAGTATATTTTAAGCTCAAATACCAATTGTCTTCTTTAACTTTGCCTTATGAAAGTTTTTAAATGCCAGGTATATAACTCTTGTAGTTTAGGGAAAGCAAGTGGCGACTACTTAAAATCCGCATGATCCTCAAACTCTTGATTTTTGGTGAAACAGTGCAAATTGTGGGGGAAGTTCCAAGTTTTCTAATTACAGTACTTCTTTTTAACGGTACGTTTCTCTCATCTTCAACCGATTGCTCTCCTTGCCTTTCCTGAATACACTGTCATATTCAGGGCTCTAGTGCCACTACTGCAGTGCAATGTAGGGAATACATTGCTGATTGCTAACAGGATTGTATTTATGGCAGTATTAAATTTATGCAAAGTAGTGGAGGAATTCTGTTACCTTTTACATCATGATTTTAACAAATCATTTTGACTTAAACGCTATTTGTCTGTACAGGCACCTGCACTGGTTATTTTTCTGAGCTATCTGATCTTAAGGCTGGTCCAAAACAAAGTCCTCTCAGTTGGACTTGACTTGACTTTATCACATCACTTGTTTTGTCTTAGTTTTTGTTCCAGCTGATCTGTGTTAGCTAAAGCCATTTCTATTATGCACTGCAGTTTATCTTTGAAGCCCAATATTTTGTGGCTTAGTTGCAGGAAATGTTTTTGCTGCTCGAGAGTTTATGATGCCATGTCTCTTTAAATTCTAGATGCAGAGGAATGAGTTGGCACGTCATATGCAAGAGTTCACTCAGGTTCACATGAGAATGATGGCTCAGACTCTCCGGGGTATTAGTGTTACTACCACAACTCCCATGTCCTACCTCAGTGGCCTATCTTTTGAGCCATCTCTCTTCTCACATGTCCCACCTGCCACATATGACTGCAACCCAGAAGTTGAGAACTTCAAGGAAACCATTCAGCAGTTGGAAGGTCGCCTGGTAAGACAAGATCACCAGATCAGAGAGCTTATTGCTAAAATGGAGACTCAGAGCACTCACGTGGGAGACCTCAAACGCACTATCCAAAATCTAGAGGAAAAAATTGCCGAAATGGAGGCACAACAATGTAACGGCATTTACATCTGGAAGATTGAGAACTTCAGCACACATCTAAGAGCCCAAGAAGAAGAGAGACCTGTTGTGATCCACAGCCCTGGCTTCTACACTGGGAAACCAGGCTACAAACTGTGTTTGCGCCTGCATATCCAGTTACCAAATTCTCAGCGCTGTGCTAACTTTATATCCCTCTTTGTCCATACTATGCAAGGAGACTATGACAGTCATCTGCCTTGGCCATTTCAGGGCACCATACGACTTTCTATTTTGGATCAATCAGAGGGACTTGCAAGGCAGAATCACGAAGAAGTAATGGAAGCCAAACCTGAGCTTCTAGCCTTCCAGAGACCAGCAATCCCCCGCAACCCAAAAGGTTTTGGTTATGTGACATTCATGCACCTGCAAGCTTTGAAGCAAAGAACCTATGTAAAAGATGATACTCTTCTGGTGCGCTGTGAGGTTGTAACACGTTTAGACTTGAACATTGTACGGAAAGAGGGCTTTCAACCTCGCAGTACTGATGGGGCTGTATAGTCTGTTGTGCCCTAACTAAGGGAGCCCCGCACTGCTGTTCTTCCACAACAGATTGGAAGGATAAGAGCATGAACGAAGGGATTTTCCAGAGGGGAAAAGCTTCATGATAAGAGCAGTTATCTGGGTTGAACAATGCCATTCTGCAGGCTAATACAGCTGATTTAACTGAATAGAATTTGCTGCCTTTGGTATACAAGCTTTTTCCTCTGTGGATCATGTATTAAATATTTCTTCTTGTTCTCTGTTACTGTATTAAGCTAACTGAGGGAAGTATTGCTGTGTTATCAAAGGTGAAATTCTTCTAGAAGTCTGTGAAAAAGTGGAGCACTGAAGCTAAATGCCCCAGATGTCCTAAATATGAAAGTATTGGAATGCCACTAAAAGCAGGGGATGAGGATGGGGAAGCAGCTGGGAGGAGTGGGGGTCATGTGGGGGTGGTAGAGGATAAAGCAGGGGGATTACTTGGGGCTTAGGCTAGCAGTGTCTAGCATAAGGAGGCTAAGGGCCAGGGGACAGGCAGGATGAGAGAGAGGTACAACTAGTTCAGGCTGGTCCAGGTCACATCTCCCTGGGGAGTTAACGCAACAGGACCCAGAATCCCAGGGAAGTTTCTCCTATTTGCTCCTGGGAAATGGCACCTCCAGCTTCTGGCTCCAATTTTAGCTGGTGCTCTGAGATCATCCCCCTCCCTGTCCTTCCTTGAGGGCTAAATAGCAGCTGCCCCCACTGACCACTTTGTATATGCCTGTCTGCCCCTCTGTCCTGTGGGATCCTTTCTGTGCCTGTGCACCTGCCTAAGTGCCTTTGTCCTCCTGATTGACCTCTTGTGCTCCTACCCCATAGACCTTCCCCCCGTTTGTCCTGCTCTCTGCCCATTTGCCCTTCAGTCTCAGCTGGTTTGTCCCTTTGTCTGTCAATCTCCCTCTCACCTATCTCAGCCAGAGGCTTGAAGTACCAGGGCCAAAACTCTGCTGCTGCTGCTCAGGGCTCTTGACCAGACACGGCAGCCTCTTGTCCCTGGGAGCATCTGAGCTGCCCTGCACCATGACTGCTGAGCATCTGCTTTAACTAAAATACATATGAAGCCTCCAGGAGGCTGTCAGTGGTGCCAGTGCTGGGACAGGCACCAAGTGGCAGCAGCGTGCAAACCACTTCCCATTGTGACCAGATGCTGCCAGGCAGCAGAAACACTGAGAGAAGCAGCAGCGTAGCAGGGGCTGAGCCGGGCAGGGTAGGTGAACAGACTGGCCCCATAGGGGGTGGTGTCGTGGGGCTGCTCAAAGGGACACAGTTCAGAATGAGGATTTCCCCTGCTATCTAGAGAGGTGGATTGACTTCATTGCCACAGCTGCTGCTTAATAGTACCAGAATGGTGTTCCAGTGTGACTACACCACTGCCCAGGGGGATGCAACGCACATACTGTAGCGGAAGTGAACTAGCTCAACTATGGAAGGTGCTCTCATGCTACAAATCAGGAGATATTCACCTTGCAACATAGACCATTTCTAAAAGGACTTAAATCCAAATGGCAAGAATAGAGGAAGGAAACAAAAGTACAGACTATTTTAGTGCCTTTATAGCTTAGCCAGGGAATGCACAGCAAGGGAAACTCCATCACTTTGAATTTACCATGTTCCTTTCGGAATATGAAGTAAGATTAAGACTCAGTCCACAGTCCCTAGACATCTGTCGGTCTGTCTCTATCTTTTTTTTTCTCCTGAGGAATTATGTTCAGGAACATTCAAACAGGAACCCGCATGATGGTGTTGAATCAATCTTGGACTTCTGAAAAGTTTTCTACAAAACCCGTGCAATACAGCCCCAGAAAAGGCTAAACAAATGTTTCTGCTGAATGTGCTGAGATCACTGATAGAAACTATGGCTTTTAGGCCTCTCTGTAACTTATTTATTCTTTTTCCCCCCTCCCAAAATGTGTGTTCACCTTGTTTGCAATTGTGTAAAAACATGGCTGACGCTCTTCCACTATAACTAAGGTGGTGCTGGATGGGTTAAAGTTCTGCATTGGTAGGGATGCTTTTTGTGGTGATAGATCATATTGGTGTGAGATATGTTCGACAGAGAGGAAGAAGATATATACTAGGTGGCTCAGGGATCATGGAAACTTTTATCTCTTGGTCACACCTGACTTGTGCCAAACTTACCAGAGTTCTAAAATCATTCCTGTCAAATGGCACTCGGGTGGCCTGTGTAAAATGTGGTGGAGGGTCTATCACTAGTTCTCAGTAAACAATTGTCCATATAGTGCCAAAAGTGATGGTGGCTTGTTGAACTAGAGAGCTCTAGGACATAGTAGGTTAGCCACCCTCACCACCTAGAAAAGAACAGGATGGTAGCCCGCTAGTAGGGCAGTGTTGGTGAACTTGCATTGCTATGTGTTCTTATAATAAACGAGCACATTCTAGTTTCTATAGTGGCATCTTTCACAAACACTACATTTACTTTATAAAAAAAAAAAAAAACCTTGGAGATTCCTGTGCCTATTTCTTGGCTTTCTAGACTGATTGTCTGCATCCCATGTTAATGTTGTAGTCTTGTGCATTAGAAGCTGGTTAGTCCAAACTCTCTGTTGCTAATAGAAAAATAATGGATTTTAATGTATAGAATTCTTTTCAACTCTACAATATCTTCAGATTTGTATATAAACACAGAGATTACTTTTTTAAAACACAAAAAAAAAAGCCTTATTTGTCCTGTGGTAGGCATATAGACAATCTGATACAGAAAATATGGAACCAGGCCATGCATAAATGTATGAATATCTCCCAGTCAACATGGAGTATTTTTCTGAGATGGGGAAGCTGGCAAGTGGGGTTTGCCTCACCTCTAGTTGGGTAAATATTGCTACAGGCCAGCCCAAGTATCAGTCCCCTTCTAAGCAGACCAACAAGGACCAACCACAGGGAGGGAGGACAGTTAACGCACAAAGGCCCATTCTGTTACAAACTTCATTGTCGGAGCACCATGTTATAACAGGTGGTTTTGTGTGTGTGTACGGGTCTTTGAAGTGCCAACTTAACACCTCTAGGAGTTCCATTTTCATTACCCTTTCAAAATCCTTAAGATTTGTTTTTACAAAAGACCGTCAATTCCCAGGCAGAACTATCTGCTTTTTAAAAATCTCAATCTAGTCTACTTTTGACTTGAAATGAAATTCAGCATGGTGGCAGCTCTGTAGTATACATAAGTTTTTATTATTTCAATTGGATAATGTAAAATAGCGCAGCCTAATAGGAAATAAAAAAGTTGGTGCATGGTACACTGGCAGAAAAAAATATGTAACATTAACAGTTTTAGCTGCTGCTGATATTGTATCTATTGTGTACTTATTAAAGGTTGCACTATGGAATTCTAACCCAATGCCAAGCTGATTTAACCACAGAGCTTACATGGGAGACTTTCTGAGGTGATATGTTAAATATCAGCCAAATATATTCTGTCTTACTAACCTTACGTACTTATCTATGCAGACCTCACTCAACTACTTAATTTTTTTTTTCAAATTATCTTTGCTACAGTGCAGTTCCAGAATTGTCTGTCATATCACACGTGGGAATGTAATTTCAGCTGGTGGAAAGAAATTTGTAGAACTTAAATGGTGGATTGAGCCATCCAGATATGTACAATCCCAGTTGTTAGTTATTTTATTTAATCTCTTTTTGAGTTGGCATTGTTTGAGAGTTCAATTTCCGTGATAAAATACAGCTTTATAGTGTATTTGCTTCACCTTTTCCCTTAGAGGTCTGTTTTTCTTCTCTTTTAAGATATCATTATGCTATGACAGTGGAAGAATGATCTTGAAAAATATTTAAAAGGAGAATGGATTATGGATCACAACTGCCACCGATTTATGAAAAATTTTGGAATAAAGCAATCTAAAACAAACGTGGAGTTGCAATGATTAGCCTAGTTTTCAACTGTTAACTTTTTAAGGGAAGTGCTGAATTTAGGTTTTGTGTATAGCTCTTTCTCTGTGACTCTTGGTGCTTTTGCAATATTGTGTGTGTGTGTGTATATATCATCTTCTATTTTTTAAATCAAATTTCTGTTACCTGTGTCAAACAGTCTTAGAATAATAGAATTGTAGGACTGAAAGGAACCTCAAAAGATCTTGTAGTCCAGTCCCCCATTTTCCCCCTTAGACTTGCTTCCTATGGGATCTTACCTACCAATTCCCTGAGTTTGCTAAAGTCGCCTTCTTAAAATCCATTATCTTTATTGTGCTGTTCTCCTTCCTACCATTCTTTAGAATCATGAACTCTACCATTTCGTGATCACTTTCACCCAAGCTACTTTCCACTTTCAAATTCTCAGCCAGTTCCTCCATATTTGTCAAAATCAGATCTAGAACAGCCTCTCCCCTAGTCGTTTTCTCTACCTTCTGAAATAAGTTCTTGGAATGTATTAGAGATTTTTTTATTGGATAATCTGTACCCTGTTGTGTTATATTTCCAACAGATGTTTGGGTAGTGAAGTTCCCCATCACCACCAAGTCCTGTGTTTTGGATGATTTTGTTAGTTTAAAAAAAAGTCTTATCCACCTCTTCTTTCTGAGTAGGTGGTCTATAGTAAATCCTTGACATGACATCACCCTTGTTTTTTTATCCTTGAACAAATCTGTCTCCTATTTCCAAGTGTATACATTTAATATATACACAAAGCAACATCCCTTCCCGTTTTTTCCCTGCCTTTCTTTCCTGAGCAACCTGTACCCTTCTATACCAATATACCGGTAGTGTATTATCCCACCAAGTCTATGATGCCAACTATGTCGTAGCTGTTTTCAATAACTAGCATTTCTAGTTCTTCCTGCTTATTCCCTATACTTACATTACTGTACAGATATCTAAGATACTTATTTGATTTCCCCCTCCCTCCTCCCATGTTCTCTTTTGTCTCTCCCTTATTCCTGCTATGTATTCTTTATGTATGGGTGTACTTGCAAAGTTGCTGCTCTCAGAATTCTCTGAGTATAATATATTGCATATGAGATTCCTCTTTTTAGCTCAGTGTCCCCCTGCAGGGCAGGGGGAGTAATTCTTTAAAAATTGTCAGCACATAATTATATGCAGGCAATTATATTTGTGAGATGGAAAAACTCATTCTATGGGCTGGCTATGTAGCAAGTGGTCCTGCCTATTGAATAATTTAAATCTGGTAGTAAACAAAATGGATGGCCTTTGTTTGCCTTACTAGAAGACATTCTTTTTCTCATCAAATGTGCACTAATGCTTTGGTGCCAACAAGTACTCTAGTCAGTATTATTGAAGAAACGCTCTGATCTGCATTTGAACACAATGCACACTCTACTGGTTTCACTGAAGTATCTCTCAATAGATTAATATATTTTGTAACTAATGCACA